AGCAGGAACAGGTCAATGCTGCCTGTAAGATGTATGGGATGTGGGATATGGAGACTTAGGCGGTCCTCTGGCAGAGAAACATGCAATGACCAGATCCTCTTGTATACATAGCCCAAGTAGCCCAGAAAGCTCTTACGGACCTCAGATAGAGAGACAGATTCGCAGAAGTAGTGTCTGCACAGTAAAGCCACACAGTACAAACTAATCTATGCTGTGAGCATATCCCCTTCTGAAGCATTGAAGCCAGACAGAGAGGCAAAGGAACCATATCCTAGTTGATTTTGAAGCCAAAATTAAGTTAGGAAGGAGGAAGACTCTGGGCTCCAACACCACTTGATCCCTGTGTAGGACCAGAAAGGGTTCCTAGAGGGCAAATCTACCAGTTAAAATGTACAAAAGGAAGGTTTTAGGCACCAAAAGAATAATACTCAATCCTACAAAGTCACAGGAAGTCATATTGTAGAAACTATCTAGGCCACACCTATAAAGTCCTCCAAGGAACGGAAAGCTAGCAGTCTTTGAAAAGATGGCAATACTGGGATATATCCCTGATGGTACACACATGCAAGTACTGATACAGAGCTGATTGTAAACAGCACAGCATTCCTCCTAAGCACTTATACCAGTAGCGAAAATCTATTTCTCTGCAACAGCCAAAGAATTCAAGCTAAGTCAAAAAAGGAAAAAACAGGAATGGAAATCAGTCAATGGAATTGAAGATCTAGACCACCTGGGATAGCCTACATGACAACCACTCCTAGTCTGGCAGGTCACAGTGCCAAGCTGCTTGGCCCAATTCAAAAATAGGAGGATCACCACAATGCTCTCCATCTTGATCCCTCATTCCAGATAAGAAAGAAGTTTCAGAAGAGGAAGGATATAGATCAAGCTTCACTGATCTCAGGGAGCTACCACAGCATCTACTGCTCCAACAAAGAATCCTGCACCTGGAGACCAATCTGTTCTCTGTGGCAGCGGAATCCAGATACCAGAAGTTCCATGTCTGATGTCCCCCCCCTTGTGAAACAAATCCTGGAACACCAGAAGAAGACCTGCCGATGTCCACTTTGAGGTGTAAATGGAATACAAGATCAGAGTGCAAAGTTCTGCCCAAGGAGATGGAATTCCTCTGAAGACCAAGACCTCTGCATCAAGAAAGGTCTTGGACTCCTCCACAGCCTGGCAAGCTGGCATCTATCTTGAGGATCCCAAAAAGATCTGGAGAAAGGATGAGAGAAGACCTGCAGTGCCTGCAAAACCAGGATGGGGCATGTGTCCCCCCTTTTTGTTTGGGTTCTGAGAACAACCTGAGAAAAAAAACCCTGAAATTCCCCTGTGGTGGGGAGATGAGCAACAACTCCTCGAACTGTGGTTCTGCAGGAATGGCCAGGAGGTCCACTAGTCCAGTGCAGAGACACAGGTAGAAAGGAGAGCAAAAAGTAAGGGCAGCAATTGGAACTCTATTGAGTAGCCCCAAGAAAACAGATCCCATACCTAGGCATCTAAAAAAACTTCCAGAACAGATGTCCACAAAAGCTAATGGACAACTCCCAACTATAAGAGTGGAGGAGTCCCTTCATTCCAAGAAGGGCTAAAGCCAGTCATGGATGTTTTGTATCTCAGTCGGTTCAGCATGGCTCCCTGCACCCCCCCTGTCAGTTGCTGGAAAGAAAATCATATCATCTATGACCAGCCTTATTTGCAGACTAGAAGAATTTAGAGGCCTGAGGTTTGTGTTGAAGTGGACACCAGGCTTAGGTCTGGCCTCAGTGAATGAAACCTGGGAGAAAAGAACAAAAAATCTTCTGAGCCTCACCAAGGAGGTGGGGTGATGGCAGTCTTCACAGCAAGATGCCCAGGTGTTTTGTTAATATAGAAGAATACTTCTTACATTGTAATTGGAGGTGGCTAAGGCAGGTTCGAAGAGATGTTCCATGAAATACATGTGCAGAAATGCCTTTGTAAATGCCTGCTCCATAGTTCAACACTTTAAACCAAAGGTACCCAGAATGTGTGCTGATTAAAACACTTACACGGGAAATCGGAAAGAGACATCCACCACCTGTTCAGTTAATAGTGCCAGAGAGTGGAGGAAAGCTGGATACTCACACATGAGGTTAATCCATCTGTTAATGTTTGACAGACTAGCTTCACACCCATGGCAGGTTGCAAGGCAGGGCCTGCCAGAGAAAGCAAGGTTTTGGAATGAATCTTTAAATCCTAGCGAAGCATGTGCTTGGTTGGAGAGCTAAGGAGACTACTGAGATCTATGGTATCCAGCCTGTAACACAGCTTGAATGAAGGTCTTGAAGACTGAACAAAAAATCAATAAAAGGAAAAAATATCTGAAAGAAGAAAGGTAACTAAGAATTCTTGTATGAGAGTAATTTTATTGTGTGTCTGATTTTAGTCTTTCTCTTTCGAAAAAAATGAGCTTTCAATAGAGTTGAGTTTACCTTTCCAAGAGTTGCAATATGAGATTTTTGTTGCCCTTCTTCCATAGCTGCCAAATCACCTTTCCAGAAATGTCTAAAAAATATAGTCTGTAAAACTAGCAAAAGTAAAAGAAACATTATTTGTATTATGACACAGATCTACAGGCCCCAAAATCTCAGAAAATGCAGTGAAGGCCCCAACAACCAGAATATCAATCCAAGCCTGACAGGTAAAAAAGGATTGCAACCAACCCAATTAACCACTTCCAGTCCGGACACTTTTACCCCCTTCCCGACCAGGGCAATTTTCAGCTTTCAGCGCTATCACACTTTGAATGACAATTGCGCGGTCATGCAACACTGTACCCATATGAATTTTTTACCATTTTTTTGAGACAGATAACTTTATTTTGGTGGTATTTATTCACCGCTGGAATTTTTATTTTTTTTGCTATGTAAATGAAAATGTCCAAATATTTTGAAAAAAAGTATTTTTTCTTATAAAATTTTGCAAATAAATATTTCATCATAAATCTTTGCCAAAATTCATTCCATTATCTTTTTAGTAAAAAAAAATAACCCAAATTAGTTTATAACCAAAAATTATAATTTTTAAACATTTTATTTTACATTTTTTATTTTTTTTAATATTTTTATTTATTTTATTATTTATTTATTTTTACATACTGTTACCCTAGCAGTACAGTGTCACCATAGTGTACTACTTTTGGGGGGTGATGAAGATTTTTTTTTTTTTTTTTTTTACACTGATTGCTTTTACACCCATATAGGATGTATAAAAGCAATCATTTCTCTTTTGCTCTGTCTGCATTCTTGCAGCCATTGAGAACTACTGAGTGAGCTGTGATTGGTCACAGCTTGTCACATGGTACAAGGCTGTTGTGAATAGCCTTGTACCATATGACCTCTGTGATCATTCACAGATTTCACACGTAGTAAGCAATGATGTCACAAGTGACATCTTGCTTACTAATTTGCATGTGATCACTGATTGGCCAATAAGTGATCACATGATCGGGACCTCGTACAGATGTCCCGTCCGACGATTGGTGTTTCACTGTGTCCTAGGACACAGCGGGCACCGGATCAAGGTGCTGCGCGCTCCCGGGGAGCACGCACAAGCAGGGTGCGGGGAGGCCGTTTATAAACGGCCACCCGACCCTGCAGTGCCACCGTCCGGCCGTTTATATACAACGCCGGTCGGGAAGTGGTTAAGAACTTCTGTCAGTGTTCACAATGTTACTGACTCCCCAGTGAAGTTACAGGCATATGTGTATCAAAGGGAGAATGGAGGAGATCTTCACTGGTGTTCTTTAGGAAGCCAAAATGGCTGCAGGGGTTTATGGGCTCTTCGTGAGCTTTAACAACCCACAGAGCTGCATTAGGAGGACGGCAGAGCCATTGCTGACAGCAGAGGAAGCAGTGAGGGAAATCCAGACCAGGCCATACTTACCCTTAAAGGGACCTTCAGCTGACCTACTGAGAGTGTTATCTCTAAATGCGTGATTTGATTGAGCATCTGGTGAGTGCGCAATTCTTACATTACCGGACACATCACCATACTATTGGTTAGATGTTCACCAGCAATTGAAGATCATCACTGGATCTTCTGTACATCACTTTTTTGGACATTTAACCATTTATATCAGCACTTTATCTAGCACCATTGGACACTATACAGTGACAAAGTTTTATGTTGTCACCAAGTCACTTAATGGTTGTTACAATACCACCTTGTTACACATCACTAGTCACTTTATTTGGAACTGAATATTTATTTATATATTCATTATTAATTTTATCTGTGATTATTGCATTTGACACTTTATATTATGTTATATATTTAGCGCTGCACCCATTTTTATATTGATGCTTTGGAAGGCTTTTTTGGTACCTTTTTGGTGTTTCAGCAGCTCAGCCATGTTTAGCGCTCACTTATCTCTTTGCGCTTTCTGGGTAAAAAAGATATGTATACCGCTACTCCAAAAACCAAAAAAAGTCATGTCTCCAATGTATAATAAAACAAAGTTACATTCCATAAAATCTCTCAGAGTTTCAGCAAATGCCCTTGTTGCCAGATCACCAGTACAAGCCTATCATCTAATATAGCTCTGCCTATAAAGTACTCTCCAGTCTCACTAATACTGTATTTCCCTCCACAGTAATGTTTGCACACAAGTTAACGCTCCTGTCTGCAAGTGACACAGCGGAAATAATTTTACCCAGAAGCCCACACCACCCGCTTATATAAATAGAGCTTCAAGTGCTTGTCAGTATCCGAGCTTTTAAATGGATGTTTTATGTATAATAGATGCTTCATAAGTAACACCTCATCACAGTAATGACATTAAATCCTAATGAATACACAGCGGAGGGATTAAAAACCTTGGCTAATTATACTTTATTTACCATCAGAGGATTCCGAAGGCTATTGCTGTACACAGTTCCCTGAATCCTAACTGAAGTTCCAATGTGCGTTTAACCCTTGCCTAGTCTGGGTGCAAGAAAACCACATTGAAACTCCCTGTGATTATTTAAAACCAATGTATTACCTTCTGAAGGTGCATTACATCCTTCCGGAGCCCATGGGGTTTGCTCAGCATAAAGTATTAGCCACTTTAATTCTATGAAAAAATCTCCCTTTCATTGTCAGTTAGGCCTGGTTCACACCCAGGGGCAGGCTGACCATTTGGAAACTCGGGCACTGCCCAAGGGCCCAGGGTCAGTAGGAGGCCCCATGAGATGCTGGTTGGCTCTGAGGAAGAGGTTGTGTCCTCGAAACGCGTTAGTAAGTTGGTCATCCAGGGTTCCATCGTATGGACTCAGATGTTGTTTGGATCATACCTCTTGTTCAGTTTGACATGCCTGTGTTATTATGTCCATTGTGAGTATGATACCTATTTTTGTTTCTTTAATAAATTATTTTAAACAATAATGCACTAGGTCGGCGCGCCCTTTTTCTGTTTCTCCATTTGTATCCAGTGTATTCGGACCACCCCGGTCTGTTGAGGGCAGCAAGCATTGCATATTCCAGAAAATTCCAGAACATTCCTATTGGGTCTACTGAGTCCTTTTCCTAGCGCAGGAGTAAAGTGTTTGTTGTGTTGGATGCCCCATGAGATGCCCCTGGTACCTTTTTTCATAGGTTTTTTTGAGTTTGGGCAAGGACACAGGGACCCCATGATCCCATATTCCCCGGGGGCCCCATGAGTTATCAGTCCGCCCCTGTTCACACCTATACATGCTACGACTGATGCATTTTTCTGCTCTGTTTTGTGTTTTTGAACACACATTTTTTATCTGTTTTTGATACGTTTCGCATTTTTTTTTTTTCCAATAGGAAAGTATTGAGTGCTATTTTGATGCAACTTTACACTCTCTGGCACATAACATCGTATTAAAGTAGTGCAGGAACCTTTTCAAAGTTGCAGCAACTTTGAAAATGTTCCTGAACTACTTTGATGTGACTTTCGAGTGCCAGAGAGTGTAAAGTTGCATCAACATTGCATAAAAGTCACACTCAATATTTTTCTATTGGAAGAAAATGCAAAATTCATTAACCTCCTCGGCGGTCTGATTATTTCCGATTTTTTGTGCTGAAAGCGGTACCATTTTTTTGCATGGAAATATGTAGTTTTTTATTGTAGGCTGTAACTTTTAGGAATAACTCACTGAAATCTGTACGAACAAGAGTCTAGTAAACATCCCGGGTATGATAAAACTTGAAACACGAAATCATAAATTATAATTTAATAAATAATCATAAAAAATAATAATAATAAATTTAATTCAATAATATAATCAAACCAAAAACACTGAAATTTTAAATACAGAGGCAAATTCGCACATCGCTGAGCAAAGTCGCAAAATCGTTTTCAGTGTCTGATGACGAATTTCTCCACGAATCATTATCACTCAATTCTGCAAGTGGTTCTGATTTACTATCGCTGTTCTCTACCTGGTCTAAAACCGCTTTTGACCTAAAGGGACGCTTTTTGGACACCATGGACTTTTCTAAGTTTCCAGGCAGAAAGAACAGTCAAAATGCAGGCAGGGCGCCGGACAAAGCACTCGGGACAAAATGTATGTGAAATGGGTTGAAACAGCAATGTTTAACTATGTAATAGTCATTTTAAAAAAAAATTAACTTTTTTAAAAATTTCAAATTTGCCGCCGGTTCCGGCGCCCGTACGTCCCGACATCACAGGGACCGGAACACGGAAGCCGGATTCCGGCATCGGCCGGACGAGATGGCCGGGGACGCTGCAGGGGACACATCGTGGGAGCAAAGGACAAGGTAAGTGCTGCAGGGACTTCCTATGCAACGCCGCATGGTAAGCCCAAGTGTAGCTCGGGGTTACCGCTTTTGGTACAGACATTTTACCCCGAGCTACACTCGGGAATACCGCTAAGGAGGTTAAAAAACGCAACATTTGCATTTTTTGGTGCAGTACCATTGAAGTCTATTGCACCAAAAACACAATCTGCTGTGGGAAAAAAAGTCGGTGACCCTTTCCGAAAACGCAGTGCTTGAAAATGCATAGATGTGGACGTGTCCCATAGCAAACCATGTTAACTGGACTGTAGTTCATTTCTGCAAATGCACTAAAAACAGGTGTGAACCAAGCCTTGGGGCTCATTCACACTGCCCAGAGTGCACTATGGTGTGCGATTTGAATGTGTGCTGCAATGCACTGTTTCAAACACACAGCTTGTGTTTTCTCCTTTTTATTACCTTCTACATAATTCTAAACTGTGTTACAACACATTGGCGCTCATTGTGAGCTGCAATGCAGCATGTCCACATTTTTTCCCAGTGTACTCCAAGGCCAAGCATTGAGCTGGACACATAGCAGATGTAGCACCCTCCTAGATAGGTTGCTAGGACATAAGGTAAATGTAATTATTTTTGGCTCCTCTGTAATTATTAGAACAGCTATTGATTGCTTTGGGTTGTAATGGATCTCATAAGCTGCAGGTTTGATTGTCACCCCCTACATTTTAGATGTTCATCGAACATAGTAGGCTGGAAATTCAAATGAGCAGCCTGAATATTCATTATGCTTCAGCCAATCCCTGGAGAGGTGTGCCCAACAGGTGTCTGGAGAGGTGTATAAATAGTCTGAGCTTTAGAATAGCAGGATCTTCCTGTTAAAGGGATTCCACCCATCTGGGTGTTACAACATGTTGATGCTCATTGTGAGCTGCAATGCAGCATGTCCACATTTGTTCCCAGTGTACACCAAGGCCAAGCATTGGTTCATCTGGTGGGAGTGGATAGGGTCAGCTTTAGGTTTAGGGTTAGTATTAGGGTTAAGAATAACATTAGCAATACAGTTAGGATTATGTTCGCATTATTATTATGTTAAAGTGGTAGTGTCACATACCTGGTCGAGGCCGAGATGATGAGAGGGCTTTCTCTTACATCTCCTGTCCTGTTTCTCCTAGAGGTGGTGAAAGAATATAATAGGGAACGGAGTGGCATGGGTGCCTTGTAGGAGATCCTGGCTGGAAGAACCTTGCAGCAGGTGACAAACAGCAGGTGGACTGGTGAGCTGGCCGATGCGGAGACACAGCAGCAAGGGCAGAAACACGGGCAGTAAGCAGGCATGGGTGGCATGGATGCATTGTAGGAGATCCTGGCCAGAAGAACCTTGCAGCAGGTGCCAAACAGCAGGTGGACTGGTGAGCAGGGTCTAGGGTGGTCACGCAGGCAAGAGTCGGTATCAGTCGGGCAGCAGAGGTGCAAAGTCAGGAACCAAAACTGGTTTAGAGCCAGGTCGGGGTCAGTATCGGACAAGCAGGGAACGTGCCAAAACAGCAGGCAGAAGGCAAGGTCAGGTCACAATCCAGAATCTGCAACAGAGTATCGGGAAAAAGCAGGGTTAAGATGAGCTGGGTGGCAGAGGATCAGGTCACAAACAGTAGAAGCTGACAACCACTCAGCAATGGTTTGGTCTCTGGAGCCACTTTAAAACAGCAAGTGAGGGCCAAGTATTCACGCTCACTCACACTAATGCGCATGCACACATGCATGGACACGTCTACTTGTCACTTGAGAACTACTATGAGCATGCGCACATCTTTGCACATACACGTGGATACGATTTCCCTGACGGGTAGTAAACTCTTTCTGATAAAGAAAAAAAAATGGGCCCCCGGCAGGTTTAAGTTATAAGATACTAGTATGCACTGCATACTAGTACATTGTGACAGACTTACCTAAAAACAGAACCCTCTGGTGTTGTGCTGTGATCCCCGGGGCTGCTGTCTTTACCTGGTCTTCCTTCCGGGTTTCCTATCTCCTGCCACATGAATGGCCGGACCAGGGGCGGACTGACAACTCATGGGGCCCCCGGGCAATAGGGGAACATGGGGCCCCTGTGTCCTTGCCCAAACTCAAAAAAGCCTATGAAAAAGGTACCAGGGGCATCTCATGGGGCCCCCTACTGACCCCGGGCCTTCGGGCAGTGCCCGAGTTTCCAAATGGTGAGTCCGCCCCTGGGCCGGACTGAGGTGACATCAGTCCCATGCATGTGCACGGGAGTCACAATGCAACCACATGCAGAGCATGCATGCATCCATGGGTCTTCGTTGCTCATATGTTCAGATCACATTACTTGCTGACAGGCGGGGGAGCATTCATGACAAAAGAGACCTCTAGGGTCTCTTCTGTTATAAAAGGCCTGCCTTTCAGCGAATTTTCATCTGTAGACTTTATTACCACTTTAAGATTAGTGGTGGGTTTAAGCAGAGCCGGGGCAAGGGGTGTGCAGGAGGGGCAGCTGCCCCAGGCACAGTGAATCAAGGAGTCAAAGAATAGACACAGGGTGGTACACCCATTCTATGGCATTTATTAACAGTAGGGGAGAGGGGGGTCATTATTGGATCTTTGCCTTGGATGCTGGATGACACCGTCCCAGTACTGGGTTTAATGCTAGGCTTATGACCTTGTGGTCACATAACTTTGTTAAAAAGGCATGGGATTTTTTTTTCCAAAAAAAAATTTGGTCTAAGCAGGGCGCACGGTGAAATGCAGCCTAACTGAAAATAAATAATGTCAAAGAATGAAGTGAGTAGTGTTGCAAAATCAAGTTTGGCAATGTCAATCCACTCATCTCTAGTCAAAGGCTTTTTTTCTTGGAGCAGTACCAGAAATGCAACAACTCCTCCTGCGCTCAGGGACCCAGATCCATAGGGGACCATTCAGGGGCAGACAAACAACTCATGGGGCCCCCGGGCAATAGGGGATCATGGGGTCCCTGTGTCCTTGCCCAAACTCAAAAAAGCCTATGAAAAAGGTACCAGGGGCATCTCATGGGGCCCCCTACTGACCCCGGGCCCTCGGGCAGTGCACGAGTTTCCAAATGGTCAGTCCGCCCCTGGGACCAATGGACCAGTACTCTTGAAGAGTATGGAGATTCTTCCAGGACCGATCAAAGGCTGTGCAGCTCAAACAAAAAGCTGGGGAAGCTCGATACAAACTGTGGTGAAGAACAAAAGACAGAGTGCACCAACGTTGCGCATTACCTCAGTAAACAGTTAATGGATTTATTGATTTAGGAGATATACTCCAAAACATAGTAGTAAAACAAGCATGTAAAGCATGTAAAGTCCAAACTTGCAAAACACGATTTCTTCTGCGCTCTAGGACCCAGGCGGGTGGCAAATAGGTGGAACCAGAACTGGAAAACAGCGAACACCAGTGCATCAAAGGTTGTGCGGCTTCAAACAAGGCTGGGGAA